GCTGCTTCATCTCTTCGTCTGAAATTTTTTCAGCAACTAAACTTAATCCCAACTGAAAGGGTAAGATTTCATTTTGCTCCGCTCTATTCTCAATGCAATGCATCGGTGGTTTGGATGGGCTATCTGCTTGGTCACGCAAACATGACAGCTATCTTTCCATCTAAATGATGATCTTACCATTCATCTCATGCAAAGCTTGGTTTATTGCATATAAATGACAAATGTCCCAATGGAGGGTTGAAACAACACAGTGCTTTGCAAAGTGGAGAATACAAATGTCAAACTGGAGGCATATGAAATAACTGCTGTATTTGTTCCTGTTTTTCAGCCATAGCATTTGCTTTGGAAGTGAATTAAACTCCCTTTTAGAATTTTGCCCATTGCCAAAATTTGACAAATACATTGCTTTTTCAAAATGGTCCCTCTGTAATACTTTGTCGGACAACTTTTAGCTTTTAACATACCGTATATTCCCCAAAGCATTGTTTAGATAAGGTAAAAGTGAAAAATGTCACAATATTTATTTTATATTGAGAGTATCATTAATTTGTTTAGCCTTAAACTGTGATTAGATAACCTGACAGCAGCCTTCTCTTACTTATCCCAAAGATTCTCACTGTTGTCAAATTGTGGAGTCCACTTTGTGTATCTATGTTTAGAAAAAGGAAAATAAATCACCTTTATATTCAAAGTTTACTTGCTTGTGAAATGTAGTATATTCCCCAAACAGAAAAGTGTCTTTGACAGAGTCTCCATAAACACTCCTGATCTTTGCCTGTAGTTTTATATCATTGGTTTATTCAGTGTATTTGTACTGGAGAATGAGAACTTGTTCACCTGCAAAATATTGCTAATGGACATCTGACATTTCATTGACTATTCTGAATTAAACAAGTTTTATTTAGATGAAAAGAAAGTTTATTTAGATGAAAAGAAAGTTTGGTTTCCACGTGCATCTTCAGCCTGCTTAGCACCATCTTAGAAAACATTCTCAAGCAGATAATGAATTACTTGAATCATCTCAGTGGCTGAAGCCTTAAAACATGTAACTATAATGTCCAGTGGTATTTCTTCAACCAGTTTTATTTTGCTGGTGGGTAGTCTCAATCGGTGGTTGATTGTGGCTGCTCTGTGCAAAGAAGCAGTCTAGTTTTCCTCCTTCAAAATTTACTTTTTTCTTCACTGTCAATCAGTTCCTTTGATGTTTCCCACACTTTACAGCCAGATACTATATGAATAGAGGTTGCATTTGAGAACAAATTTGATAGGAATTGTTGAAGGTGAATGCATTCATTGTTATCAATTGATAAAAAAAAAAAAAAAAAAATCTTGGTTCTATATTCTATCAACAAAATGAACAACGCAAGTGTCATTGGAATGTTGCAGCTAGTTTATTAGCGAGAGAATGTTGGAGGTAAGTTACATTTATTTTGCTTGCATTCGTTTGGAGAGACATTAATGTGGTAATTTTTGTGAAGCTACAGCTAAACTGAACAAATTGTTATGAGTCATTAAAAGCCCATATTCCACAAACATCACTGGCCAACAATCCTGTGCGTCTTTTGACAGCAAAACATGCAGAGCAGCTGCAGTCTTTTTCTCATACACTTTCTTCCTTTCACTTTTCATTTGTCTAACTAAAGTGCACCTTGAGTCTAAGTGTCAACCTTGAGTCGCCATCTCTGATATCTACTACATTTGACTGTTAGTATGTTATATTTATGCTAAGTAACTGGACGCACACCTTCCAAGAAGTAGAAATAGATTTGTAACCCTTTGCAGACACATGGCAATACCTTCAAGTTTCCAGAAAGGTTTCATTTGAAGGCCTTATCTCAACAAGTGCAACCCTTTCAACATTTGGTGAATTGTATTTTTATCCTACTTATCCCATTATTTGGAGGCAGACTGGGATTGATTAGGGGGATCCTAAAGCTGTTGTTTGGACACATGAGGGGATGTACAAGCTGCAAAACAAGGAAGATTGAGCTGACTGAGCAGCTGACCCCCTGAGCCACTCAGATTAGTATGTTGTCATTTGTAGTACGTTTGGTTATTAAGTGAGATGAAATAAGTGTTGGTAGGTGTTTAGCAAAAAACATTTTTTGTTGTATCTTTGCACTTAGAGACTTCACTATTATTTTAATTGATAATTTTTTATCGATGTATGAGAACACAAAAACACAAAACAACAAACTAATAAGAAATCACCTAACAATATAAAGTACAGGGAAATAAACTAGTAATGCCAATATGCTGGACATATATGTCATGCAAAGCTGTAAAGTAAAACTGTTAAATATTGATGGATGAACAACAAAGTACAATGTTATTTTGTTAAAAACTAAACGCTCTGCTGAAGGGAATCCCAAACTTTAAAACATTAATTTATCATCCTTACCCAGTTAGCTTGTGCAGGTTAATAGGTCCTCTGGTAGGTAAATGACTAATACACTCTAGATTTGATAACTAACTACCACCAAGTGTGAATTTGGAGCAGAAAACAAAACTGGCAGAAATAAACTAAATCACAGGATCTCAGAAATACATCACAAAAGCAACACAACGCAACTTTGATGATCTTAACACACCTGTCACTCCAAGCACCACATCACATTCGTACTTTATGAACACTCCGGATACTCTGAGAAACTTATGGTTTCGTCTGGAACAAATTACTCATGGCCTAGGTTGCAATGTAACCTGTGCATAAATTCTGCCAAATTCATTATTACTGACAAATGAAAGGGGAAAACGAAGAGTAAAAGAGCAGGGAGCGACAGAGAAGACTGATGGCATTTTAAGGAGCTCATTAATTTGGACTGATAGATTCTAATTAAAGGTTGCTGGTAAATGAAAAAAAGTACACATTCTTTTTAATTTGAAAACCATCAGCATTTTCTATCTTTGATTCAGAATATTTGTCCGAGAGCAGAGAATGACAGTCCCCTTTGTCTTTTATTTTCTAACATTTGCCTTAACCCGTTTCATCCTTTTAATTCTTTCCCTTACCTCACAATCTCTTGATTCTTTATAGGTCTATTTCATGAAATCTCTCTCATCTTTATTTTTATCCCTTCTGCAGTAATGAATAATCTTACGTGCCCTGACTATGGAGTGTTTTTCATCTGTAAACATGGTATTTTCTGGGTGGTAGGTGAAAGATGGCTGCCACAAGAGGGGAATAAATAGAGGCTGCACAGCCTGCTTTTCAATCAGAGCGTAGAACTGAAGAATCACTAGCACAACATTTACCAGAGAAAGCAAGTTAACGTCTGATACATTTAAAAAAGCTGAAAAAAATAAACATTTGGCTTTAAAAATCTTAAAATGAAAATGGTGTCAAATTGTATACCCATTCCTCCGTCCTCGTTGTTTCAGATAATTTTTCCAATTACTGTGATGTAAAATTATCTGTGACAGCTCTGTATACTCCAGTTATCACTAACCAGTCCTGTCCCAATACAAGCTGTCACATAAAAAAAACCTTAAGGGCAGTTGAACATTCAGAATCCCTCTAGGTGAAAATGTTATCCTTTGTGAAAATGTGTTTTTTATTTTTCATGTAAGGAGCAAGTGAAGCATTGTGTTATTTGGTTGTGTCCCCTCGCTGTTCTTAATACTTGAAACTGCTTCACTGATTTGTCTGCAGCACATTGACTTTACAGCATGTACTGGAGGGCACATCATCTCGTTATTCCACAATACATCTTTGAAGGAGAATGTTTTAAGGGATTTCACCACAGGATCAAACAACAGTCACACAAACAGTAGGTGATACTGTGAGATATAATGTTCTATCCCTTATTGAAAGTTATTTGTCATGTATCACTGATGGGCAAAGCAGCTGTGCATTAAAACTCTTAAAAGTTAGTCAACTTTACTACTGCTTTATTTGCACTGGGGAATTATGTATAACAGTAGTTAGTAGTTTGAGTATAAGATAAGGTGTAATGATTGGGCCAATACCATATTTGCATTAGCATTTTCTTTTCTTTTCTCTTTTTTTGTGGCATGTTTTAAGGAAATAGAAACCACCGGTGTGCAACGTTAAATGGCAATAAAAGGGACCTTGGAGCTTCAGCAATGAAAGTTTACACATGACTGCCATCAGAGAGCCCACAGTCAGTCGCTCTTCTAATTTGATATTTTCATGTATTTTTATTAAAAACTTTCCTGTTTGGCTTGCAGATGGTTTGCTTTTGGCATAAACATGCTGCAGGTGTGTTAAGCTTTGCCAACTGAAAGTTGTTAATAATGTATCATGTAAGGATAAAATTACCAAAAACATGTCAATCTCCACATTTTTAAGGTTTATTAGAATGTTTTGCCCAGTTTTGATTATTTGGTGCTTTACTGCTTTCAAGCTACAAATACTGAAATATTTGAAGCTTCTTGTGATATACTGCAAATTGCAAATCTGAGTGCCCCTTTCCACCCACTATCGGTCCAGTTTACTGTATCTTGATGTCATTATACATCTCCTGCCTTCACAAGTCTAATATTCCTGAAAATGGTTCAGTGGGTTCCGTAGTCGTTACAGTGATAAAAATGACAAAGTTGAACATGTCTGTCAGAATCAGGATGTGGATGCAAAAATAATGGAGCTTGTGTAGATGACACTTTGCTAAGGCCTGTCCTCCTTCCAGCCTATGAGATACACAGAGATCAGACAAAACATTATGAGCCTCAACCTCATTTTAATTAGATCCCACTTTTGGTGCAAAATTGTCTTTTGTCAGGCAAAGCCGTGACAGCTCAGACTGCACTGGGATTGCGGTAATACATACCATACCAAAAGGACCACTTATTGTTGTAAAGAGTAAATGGGCTGAACTTATAAAGTGCTTTTCTAGTCACACTAACCACCACTTAAAGGGCTTTACTCTTTAAGTCTCATTCATCCAGCTGGACTTACATAAATTTATACATTCATGCACCAATACACAAATTGGAAAGAAAATTTGGGGTTAAGTGCCCTGCCCAAGGGGACATTATAATGTGGCAGGGAGGAAACTGGAATCAAACCAACACCTTTCTGACTGCAAGACAACTACTCTTCCAACTGAGCCACAGCCATCCCAGTTGTGGGCTGATGTTTCTGCGAAATAGAATTGTGTACCACAGATGCCATCAGTCCCCCATCAGGTTCCTGGGGATTTTGAATGCAACACAAAGACCTCAGTCTCTCTTTCTCTTTTAACATTTTCTAAGTTTTTCTGGCTGTGTCCACTATTGTTTTGTTGTATTCCTGGTGTGTGTGTGTTTGTTATTCATTTGTTTTACTTCCATGGAAATAAGTTTCTTCTTCTGTTTTCATACTCAGTAATGATACTTTCACGTAAGTCGTGTAGTAATAATGTTACTCTCTTCTTGACAACCAACCAATTCCATTCAGTTCAATTCAAGAGTAATATTAGATGAAAGAACCATATTCCTGAACCATTTTTACTTGTGAGCTCTAAAGCTGTACAAACTGTTTTGACTGACAGACCTCTCCTTTGTCTCTATAACGTTTTAATGTTTTGCACTATTGTAACTCAGGAAAAGGACCATGTTTCTTGTAACTCTCATAAATTAAGCATAACTAAGAACACCAATGGCTCAAAACTAGAGCCTGAGCTGATAGGTGGACTACATCACAAAGAAGGTGATGCATGGAAAACAATAAAGAATGATTAAACATGTGAAAAACACTGCAGCTACCCTGGCCATTCATCATTATTGAAAAGGCTTGGTCTCAGCCCAAGACATTTGTGAAATTTGCAGAGAGGATGTGCTTCCATTTCACAGTCAAACTGTAGAACTTCTATTTTTGTTCTTGGCTTTATTTCTTGGATAGAGAAACATTAATTAAACGTGCCAGAATTCAAAACAATGTGCATTACTAAACATTCAGTCAGACAGGACTGCATGTAATAATTCTCATGCTTTTTTCAGATTTGTCAATGTATGCTCATACTGGCAGTAAGATGGTAGAAGCTAAAAGAGCTTTGCAGGATAAATTAATTGACATATTTTCCCAAGGATGTTATTAATGAGACAGAATTTCTATAATTTCTTTCTACTTCATGTGTTTTACTATAAGTATGATTTACAATATGCCTTCTGGTGTACTTATAACTTGTTTTCCACTCCTGTCTTCCACTTGGGTCCAGGTTTGCATAAGAGCTTTATTTCTTAGCTTAACATCCCAGTCTTTGCCGCCTCTATCCAACTCTGTTTTTTTCCCCAAATATGTTTTTTGGGTTTCCACAGCTCACGCCTGGTATGAACAACACTGTCTCGCTGGTAACAGTCTATATACAGGGGTTGGACAATGAAACTGAAACACCTGTCATTTTAGTGTGGGAGGTTTCATGGCTAAATTGGACCAGCCTGGTAGCCAGTCTTCATTGATTGCACATTGCACCAGTAAGAGCAGA